TGACAGGAGGAAGGGTTTTGCTAGAAAAAATTCAGAATTGGGTAATATCTCACTGGTATGAACTAATTTATATGTGACTCTGCTTGAAGCATGGGAAATTGATGAGATAGTCATTCAGGTCTCCTTTTAACTCTGAAAGTATATAGTAACATACTCTTTGAGAATGCACAGGATGGCTGGTCATTCAGCTTTTTCAAGAACGGACATACATAGGAAATGGGAAACAAATGCATTGAATTTTAGTTCTAAGATCTCCGTGCTCCTACCGTGCATTCTTTATTTAGGTTTTCCAGATACTATCTTTTCTATCATTTCATTCATATAAAAAGGAGGAAACCTGTTATCCGGATCTGAGGATTTACTTTTAATATTACATGGCCCAGTTTTGGGACATTTAAGTTACTTTACTACTTTGTATGGCTATTATATGTTCAAACATTCTAACTCCTTTTAGTGACAATTTAAAAAGTCATGTTCAAAGCAATGGGGCCTTGTTCTCTTATATTTTTGCCACCCACCATTTCTACTATTATGGCAACTATCATGTAATGATACTTGAACTGGTATTCACTTGAACTGATCACATTTTGGGGATGGAGCATATGACAGATTCTTCTCATTGCCTAATGTTTGTTCTCAGTAACATTCAATAAAGCTTCATGCCCCTTCTGTAAACCTTGCTCTATTTTTCATCAATTTATTTTGGTAAAATATAGAAAACTGTCCCACTGATTCATGTTATTCATTATTTTTATAAATTATTCAACAGAGAAATAACAAAAACTCTATGAAGTTTAATCTAAATTGAACTAAACATATCAAAATTAATGAATAGTTCATCCTTGATTTTTATTGTGTTTATTCAATTGCTGCTTAATTAGAAAAATGTCATTCTTCAGACTACAGATCCCTATCACTGTAAAACTCTATGAGATTCTACTATAAAACTATTAACTTTAGACCCAGTGATTGCTTTCCTCAGGCCAGCAATAATGAAGACTAAATCAGGATTTCAATAAAATTGAAAGTTGGGTTATCCAAGGTACAAACTTCAATGGAGGTACCAATAAATATGCAAATGGTTTCCAAATTTTTCAGCATTTAAATCCTTTCAGAACCACTCTTATTCTACTTTGGTAGTTATTTGAGGGCAGATGATAGAAATTCAATTTAGTTAGATATAAATTCCAAAGAGAAGAAAATGTGTTAGTTCTGAGTTCCATTTCTGCTTGGGACCATAGAGAAAATAAATGATGCAGGATCTAATCATTCAGTCACCATTAGTTTGTGCAGACTATCTTCAAATTGCTTGGGCCATAGAACCCATAAGAACTTTGAGGAATAGAGGGGCTGGCGTGGTAGTGTAGTGGTTAAGTTTGTGTGCTTCACTTTGGCGGCCTGGGGTTCAAAGGTTCAGATCCCGGGTGCAGACCTACACACCACTTATCAAGCCGCGCTGTGGGGCATCCCACATACAAATAGAAGAAGATTGGCACAGATGTTAGCTCAAGAGCAATCTTTCTCAAGCAAAAAGAGGAAGATTGGCAACAGATGTTAGCTCAGGGCCAATTTTCCTCACCAAAAATAAAAGAACTTTGAGGAATAGAGCCATAGAGAAGAATAGTATCAAAAGGAATTAAGTTCACTTTTATACAGCTTGATTCATTAGCTCAGTCATATCAGCATGACTTTTGCCCATTAAACTCAACAAATCAATTCTGTTCAGTTCACCCCGTAATTTTGTAATCCTAGCGAAATTATAAAGTGTCATCTTAACGGTAAGTGAGCCCAATAAGAGTAGGTCACCATCCCCCATTCATATACTTACTCATACGATTATAATCTAATCTTAACAGAATGATTAAGTTTTTCTATCCTGAAGTTCAGAGAATATTGTGCAGAAGCACAAGAAATTAGGAAACTAGTATAGAATAGACCAAGTGAAGTATAAAGCTTACATGAAAATGTCAAATGTAGTCAGATCCATTTTGGGGGGCTATCTTTATAATGAATACAGCAAGACCAGTCACTATAACTCTGAAGTGTGTTGCTCAGCTATAACACACTCTGCTGCATACCAGGCAGAACCTAAAATTTTGAGCCACATGAAATTTAAGTAGAGTCAACCAGGAGCACTTGTAAGCTACTATTACACCTAAGGTCAAAAGAGGCAAAAATCAAATGAAGAAGATTTATCCAACCATGGTCTAGCTAAAATATATGTTAACAACATACAAACAACCTGTAATTCTATATGTAAGAATCTACTCAAGGAATGATCTCTCCTCTAGGAGGCTTGGGTGTCACTGACTGAAAAAAAAAAAGCATAATTTCATTATTTCCCTTGTTTGGCTTTTGTTTGTTTTTCCCCTGTCATAGAGGCAGCAAAAACAAATTATTTGGGGGAGCCAGTTTGGCTTCCATAGCAGCTGCACCAGTCAGACGCATCGTGGCACATGATGAGATTGCCAAATGTTCATTGTTTAAATATGGCCCAATTTACTAGGGTCCAAGTTATAATTAGGTTTCTTCTTTGAATTTTAAAAGGAAAAAAGTGAAGACACAAACTCCTAATACATATAATTAAGACTAGCAGCCTTAACCTAACAGGTTTTTAGAGACACTCTCACTGTCACTCTAAATACAGGTTTCCCACTGAGAGCATAATTACAGTTTGTGTTGCACTTCATACTGTCTGCCTCCTAGAGAGCTAACACTGTTTGTTATTAAAAGAAGACCTTGTCATATCATGTTCACCTCTGCATATAATGTCTCTTGTTGTTGCTGCTTACCTTTTATCTACTTTTTTGGTGTGAAGAGGGGGAAAAAAGGCTAATAAACTATGGAGACTTGGTAAATTTTAACAAGTTGGAGTTAATAGGATGTTTTTTCCCCTCTCCTTTCACCAAAAGGAGGCCTGTCTTCTCAATTTGACACACTTGCATTCTGTCCCCATAGCTGCCTTTTCTTTATTATGCCTATAAACCAGGCTGGAAGGAAAAGCAAACCCACAGAATCCTAACTACCTAAGCCAGGAGGGTGGAAATTCCATTTCAAATTAAAAGCACAGTTTTAATCCATTAAACCTTTAGACTACATTTATATTTAACACCAAGGTGATAGCCAAACGTTTTCTACTGACATACAGCAAGTGCTTTGAGCAGGTCTTCGGGAGCAAAGTACATTCAGTTTCCGAAGAGATTCTATAAAATCATAGTGCTTTTTTTTTTTTAAGAACTTGCCCTACAGGGGACACTTACTGGTGCTCTGATAACTACATATTTCCAGACATTTTAATAGAATGGCAGCAAATGGATTTTTTTCTTCCGCATATTTACCGTCCTCAGTATTAAAGTCCCTATGCAGTATTGGCAATTTTTTAAACCTGCTTTGCATGTCTCACCAGGCTGTGACATCTCATTATGTGTTGTAACCTATTCTGACAAGTCTGCATCAAAAAAGACTACTTTGCAAGTTGGGATTTTTTTTTCACTATCATTTTTTGATCTGTTAAAGCTATAATCTGAGAACGAAACACACAGTTGTTCACAAAACTGTAAGATTTGAAAAGAAAAAAGTCACAAATAAGAATCTTGGATCAAGCAGGATTCATTAATATCATTGTCTCCAAGGCGCATTCAGCTATAATCATTCACTTGAGAGAAATGAAGTTATTTCCAATGATGATCATATCCAGCTAAATTTGAGGGTTTTTTAATATCCTGAAGCAGGAACTTGACTATGCTTTTCAACCAGCTATGTTTCCTCTTTATATGCCAGAAAGGTAAATTTCAACATTTTAATGTATAAAATAATGTAGTGGAATGGTAGTGTAAATTATGAAAGATCCGTAGAATGGAAAAGTCAAAGAATAGTCTCAAGGAAAGAAGTACATTAACATACACTGATAGAAAAGAGTTCCAAGACACACTGATAAGTGAAAAGAGCAAATTACAGAATAAAAAATATGCAGTGAAATTTTAAAAACATTCAAAACCACACTATTTACACTGATGGGGTTCAGGTCAGGCTGCCCCAAGATGTGCCACTCTGGTATGCAGATTATTTTGAGCTGAAGACAATAAAGACTCAGACTCAGGAAGAACATTCGACCTTTCCCCCCAACTGCCTAAAAGAAATTTAAAATAAAGGTTTGTCCCCAGGACAGGCCATCACCATAGATAACTTTGGGTTCCGGTAGACTGGGAGGACCCTTGCTAAGCCCACTCTTATCAAAGTTCTATTTACCAAACACTTGCTTTTCCATTTTCATGTGGGTTGCCTTCCTTCCCTTTGAAGCCCCAAATCACTACCCCAAACGTCCTCCTTGTCTGTAGCTGAAGATACTTAAACAGGCAGCCACGGCCAGTTGGCTGAGTTACTCAGTTTTCCCTGAGCTTCTCCCATGTATACATGCTATCAAACTTTGTTTGATTTTCTCCTGCTAACCTGCCTTTTTAATTATCTGACCAGCCATAAGAGCGTGAAGGAAAAGGGTGAGGGGGATTCTCCCACTTCCCCGACAACACACACACAGTTATATACATTAATGCAGACGTAAAAGAAGGTCTGGAAAGATACAAACCGTATTGATAACATTGGTTACCTCTGGTAGAGGGCATGAGATTGAGAGGCTGTATTAGTTTCCTACTGATACTATAACAAATTACCACAAACTTAATGGCTTAAAATAAACATGCATTTATTATCCTACAGTTCTAGAGGTCGGAAGTCTAAAATCAGCCTCACTGGACTAAAGTCAAAATTTTGGTAGGGCTGGTTCCTTCTGGGGGCTTTGAGGGGACAATCTATTTCCTTGCCTTTTTCGGTTTCTAGAAGCCAGCTGCATTCCTTGGCATGTGACCTCTTCCTTGGATTGATCCAATGTCTTGCTTCCATCATTATATCTACTACTCACTTACCTTGTCACTACCTTGGGCCCACCTGGATAATTCAAAATTATCTCCCCATGTCAAGATCTTCAACCAAGTTCCTTTTACCTTGAAAGGTAACGATCCATAGGATTCAGGGATCAGGACATGCACATCTGTCAGGAAGCCATTATTCAGCCTACCACAAAGGCCAAGAAGGGATTTTAGCTTTTTTGTATAGAGTTTAAATAGTACAATTAGAATGCATTTATATATTAACTATATAATTTACATAATTTAAAATAAAAAAGAAAGATAATTTCACTTCTCACTTTTAAAAATGTTTGAGACAGTAAGAAAAGTCATACTTCCTCTATATATTTAGTTCTTCTCTTTACTTATTTTTTTGCCACTCTGAATTCCTATTCTTTTCCCTTCTACACTCTTATTTCCTGGTTCTGCACCTACATTACAAGATTTCATGCCCATAATACAAGGTTCATAATCATATTTCATATCCTACCCTGAAAATATAACCTACATGGAATTGTGGCACAATTAGGTCAAGTATAATGGCCCATGGGATAAAGAATATGTCTTAACACATTAAACAGATGTTAACTGAGCCTCTACTATATGGAAAGAAATATGCAGAGAACTAGGGGTATTGATATTAAAAGTCCCACGTCTTGGAGAGTTCCCAATCTAGTGAAAAAGATAATATGCAAACTATTAATTACAATAGCATTTGAGGTGGCATTACAGAAGGATGCACAATGGACTATGGGAGGTTGACAGAGGAAGAAATTAGCTCTACTTGAAGTGCCAGGTGATGATAGGGGAGGAAGAGGTGGTTAGAGAAGAATTCATGGAGGAAGGCCTCTCTGACCTGGACCCCTCTGAATGTCTCCACATTTTCCATTCCATCCCATGGCCTAGGTTGTTAGCTCTCAGCTCTGCTGAAGGGTCACTCATCCCTGTAACTCTAGTCAACAAGGCATGTCTGCTGATATTCAACTCACCGGCCTTCCACATCTTCTCACTCAGAGTCATACAGCGATTTCTAGTTCTCACACACATAATACACGGAGACTCCGTGTCTTAGAAATGCTTAACTCCGGCTCTCTGTTTATTCATGCTGCCCCAAAGGGTTTACTGGGTAATAGAGGAAGCTGCCAGAAAATTGAATCCCAGATCCCTAATCAAGAAGGGGGCAAAAGACCCCTTCTGTCCTTAGGCTTCCTCCTATTTATCTGGATGGTTCTAATGGTAAAGGAAAAAACCAGAATTCTGACATTTACCTTTCTTTGCCTCTCTCAGTCTCACTCCTCTCTGCCTTTCCATTACAACTGCATTCTAATTGGGCAGCAAGCATTTTGGCCAAGCCTTAAAGGCTTTAATCTTGCCCAGACTTTAAGAGAAAACTACATCATCTGTCTTCTTGTCTTGATTCTTAATACTATGCTAAAACTTTAAAGAACTTCTAAGGCTGGCTTTAAGCCTATTGCTTTGCTAGACACACCAAGTACCAGCTCCCTCCTGCCCAATCTGTGATCTTTCTGAGACAGAAGGCTGTAAGGCAACATGATCTACTGGATGATGGATTGGTTCATACAACCCTCATTCCAAATGCTTTCTAACAATGTTAAGTGTTGAAAAACTAAAATCTACATTTCCCAGACTCTCTTGTAGTTAGGGTTCTGGATGAGATCTAGGTTCTGCTCATCTAATGCACTGGCATACAACTTTGTTTCACACTGAGCTACCTGGGGAGAGAGAGGTAGAATACAAGGCTGACAGGAACCACAGCAAAGAAAGCATGTTCTGGAGCTGGCAGCTGTCAAAGTAGCTCTCTGATTTGGCAACTTGTTGATGGTCAATTACTAGGAGTGGTAAGGTCTGGACGTGGTAGCCAGGCTGGTGGCAGCCTCCTTATCAAGCAGGGGCAGCAGCAACCTGAGCAGCCAGGGGCTTTTGAAATCATTCTTGAGAGCTGATTCATCCCGCGCAACAATTCTCTAAGCTATCTTCTCACTTAAATTATTTGTGCTTAGACTAGGTAGACTGGCTTCTGTTTTCTGCAACTAAGAATCCTGACTAGTATGTGTGTATGAAGCTGGGGGGGAGGGGCACAGTCAAATGCTTCAATTTAATATTGGAAAATACTGGCCCCCATCATGTCTAATTTGAGAGACAAGCGTGAGTCCAATATGCATTAGGTAATCGATGTTCTACTTCTGGGTAGGGTTAAGAGTAAAAGATCATTCTTCAAACACAGCACAATTTCCTTTTTCTGGCTTTTTCTTCTACCTACCTCTATTCAAGTTTTACAGGCTTTATACTTACAGTCTCCAAGCAGGGCCTCTTTACCTTATCAACTTTAGCTTTTTTGGTACAGGGTTGGGGGGCGGGTCTGGGGGACAAGTAAGGCTAAGGGAATAGTTCTTTGAGGTCTTTACAAGAAGAGAGAGAGAGAAAGCCCTTCAGTCCTCCACAATTCTAGCCATTTTCAGACAGTTCTGAATAAAACTGACATTTTGTTTGCATTTGGCTCCTTATCACTCTCCTCTATGACTTAGAACTCTATAGGATGGAGGGCCGAAGTGATTGATATCCACAAACTTCCACCACGCAAAGCTGGAACTCACATTACAGATCATTTATTTCAACCCCCTGTTTTGTTGATGATGATAGTGATGTCTGTTATGGAACCAATAACTGGAAGAGCCCAAACTAAAACTCAAATTTGCAAATTCTGAGTGCACTGTTTTTACCATACCAGTAAAGACTTGGGTGAATGAATTTAAAAGACTAAGTTCTAGCCAGTGGATTGAATTTTCTAGTTCTCCATCCAACCCACTTTACTCTTTTATATATCCCTGCTACCCCTGTAAGCAATTGGGTTTGTAAGTCTTGATTTAAAAGATTCCTACATAAATATTTCAATGAACAAAAACTCCTTTGGTAAAGCAAATCACTCATTCCTTATATCTAAATTTTGTAGTTTGATATTCCTAAAAGCATAACCCACCTAGAAGAGGGGCTTGGAAGGCTGTAGGTCTAAAAATATTTTTTAACATAATCTTTTATCTTTATCTATCCCAGCTTATGGTTAAAAATGTACTGAGTTTGTTCTTACGGACAGACCATAACAAGAGCTCTCCAGGCCTGAGAAGCTTTTCCTACTGAACTGGGTTTGTAATGCCCCCACTGGCAGAACTTGCCTTGCCGTCCATCTGGAACAGCACCACCAGTTTTGTCATCCCCAAAGGCACTATTCTGACACATCTCATTAATTTTTACAGGGTCTTGACCCATAAGAATAAATGGTCTATGCTTCAATGTCTAAGTATGCACATAAAGAGAATAGAGTTTAACTTAAGTGCTATATCTTGGGTCCAAGAAAATATATATATATATGCTGAAAAGATATAAATTTCTTGAGGTGGTTCTTTATTAAGCTTCCAAGTAAATACAGTGTAGCATAAGACACTCCAAATCCATTTGGAAGTGAAGTATAAAAACACTATCAAGCATTATTGCTAGTTTCTTAGGCTGACTGTCATTATTCTAGCCCCTTTCATGCTAGTGTATTCCTAGTTTAAGTGTACCCATCTGTGGATAGGAAGCTCAAAAAGAAAGTGGTTAAATAATTCAAAATCCTCTCTCCTGTGAGAACATCAAATCCTAAAAATTTCCAAACGTCAGAATACAATAAAGTTGGTTCTGAGGCCATAATTAAATAACTGTTCACGAGGGAAAAATATAGACAAACCACAATGACTCATATTAAAAACAGACCCCAAAATTGACAAAGAAAATACAGATATACTGATGAATCAGATCCTAGCTCCAAAATATTGACCTTTTTTCCAAATAATCTCTTTTAACAAACTCTAACAATTAAGCAAATCAATTAGCACTTAGTACCTACACCCCTTCAGAATTTCACCTCTGGTAGAAGTGGTCAAGAAAAAAGTGAAATAATGAAAGGTAATACTTCTTGAGTTTTTGCTAAATATTAAGTGCTTTACCTGAAGTATCAAATTTCATCCTTATAAGAGCTATTATCATACCCATTTTGCTGATAATGGAAAAAAGCCTCGGCATATTTAGTGAACTGTTCAAGTCCACTCAGATAGTAAGCTGTAAACCCAGTCTATCTTCTCCAGAGCCAACCTTGGAATCACTATTCATGACTGGCACACTTGGGAGCAGCTGCATTTAATAGCATTCTTCCAGAAAAACTGCTATTTTAAGAAATTCTGGTTTTGGGATTATAAAATTTGTCAGAAAAGATCTTATGAAATCTGAGTATTTTTGTATGAATAAACCCCCATTGGGCATGCAAAATTCTTATTGTTTGTCTTCACTGAAAAAGGCATAGAATAAGAGGCCTACAAGAGTGGAAAATGCTAGAAAAAGAACCATAGGAAGCCTGAGCCACTCCTCACACACCCAATATATTATTTATGAACCTCCAAGAAAAATAGAGTAAGTGAAAAGGAGAAAGCAGGTAGTTTTTTCTCCTAAAATTTTACTTAAGTTTTCCATTTCTAGATTTTACTTAAAAATAATGGACTAATAAACATCAGCAAACATAGACTGCATTGCAGTCTATCCAGAAATTTCCTTTTATGGGTGAAATTCACATAAGACAGTCCATAAGTCACAAAAACATGTTGAATTATAAAACAACTACCTCCATATCAACTGGTACCTCGGTAGAATAGACAATCACCACATTAGTCGTCTCTAGTTTGAGAAGACAGAAAGCCAGAAGTAAAGTAAATGAAGTAAAGAAGCGAAGGTGAGAATTAGACAACGGCCTTGTTGGAGCCATCAGCCCTTCATAAAGCTTCAAATGGGATATGGGACTGCGTGGGGCAGGCCTAGACCTAGAGGTATGTAACACAGAATATATTTGTGTCTGGGTCCAGACAGGGGTGGTCATGATGGGAATCAAGGGAAGAAGTGAAGCATCAACACCGAGAAAGCAAAAATCAAGTAAGAGCAAAGCCAAAAGAACGTAAAGGAATATCCTGAGTTTCGGAGGCAAATCCTTTCACCTCCCACCATTCATGCTTTTTTCATCTCTAACCTTGGTGCCCCAGTGCAATGATGTGCAGAACTGGCTACCCAGTGTAACTATCTGGAGAGCTTTCAAAAACTATTGATCCTGTTCCCATACCCAAAACT